CTCAGCCATGCCTCCCAGAACCTCCTTTGCTCCCTCTCCTGTCTCTTCCCTCAGCTGCTCCGGGCTGCCCTCTCTCTCGTGCCCTGTCTGTTGGCCCCTCCGGACCTTGCGGGTTGAGCCCATTTTCTTCTTCTTTCCAAGATGGGGAGCTCCTTGCTCCTGCTCTTCTGCCCCCTGTTGTACAGAATGCTTTGATTGATGGTGTAGAAGATCAGGAGTGGTGTCCTTTTCGCTCTCAATGCTATTGGAGCTCTCTGATTGTTTGGTCTGGTCAACAGAGGTGGAGTCCAGGGATTGATGGAGCAATAGAACATCGGTAGCACCTTCAACTTCACCTTCACAATGCAAAGCTCCCTCAACCTTATCTGCATTAGCTGAGCTATCTGAACGCAGAAGTTCTAAGGTGAGGCTTGTAACACGAGGCTCTTCCGGAGAAGCAGGACTTAATGATGGCTGATTCATCCAGGGAACTTTCTGATCACAGATGTCTGACACTGTGGCCTCTGGTGTGTGGCCTGGACCCTGTGGATCTGCTGGGAAGGACGTGACAGGGAGTTCATTTTCCTCCACTAGAAGCCTGGAGGTCAGTAATTGACTGTTTTCCAGTGCAGAAGTAGAGCTGTCATCACTTCTATTGTTCTCTGTGCTCCCTGGTTGATCAACTGGGATGGTGTCTTCAGGTTTGTCGATGTCCATCATGATCTCTGGCTCCAGAATGTGGCTGCTGTAATCCAGTGCTGGGTGGTGCTCCTTGTCTAGTGTCGCATCAGAGTCCTGTGCCTGAGGAGGTGGCCCTGTGATTAGGGCTGTGCTGTCTGGAGGGTTCTCAGGGCTTTGGTGTTGTGGAGTGGAGACCATGTCCTCCAGTTCAGAAATGGTGAGCTGACCTGGATGGAGCTCCAGGGCCTGAGCTGAGGGATGTTCTCTATCACTGTGGACAGAGTTCTCTGATTGGTCTGCATGGTGAGTGGTGGCTGTGTTTCCAGATTCTGAGCCCAGTAGTTGGTGGTGTTTGCCTGTTAATATAGTTTCCTCAGTGGGCACGGGAGAAACTGATTGGCTAAGCTTGGGACTTTTGGGTGGTTTCTCTGGCTCCTCATTAAGCATGGAGGTCTGGGGTTGGTGAAGCTCTAAAGATAGCGCAATGCTTTGGGTGTCTTCTGATGGCAGAGATGTCTCTGACTGATGGAGCACAACAACTGAGGCAGTAGTCTCTCTCCCTGTGTGCTCCGCTCCTCCTTCACTCCTCTCTTCACTCTCCTCCCCAAGCTCATCGGGGGACTCCTCTCCTACTCGGCCTCTTTGTCTGCCTCTCAGGCCCCGGCGTGTTGACCCCAGCTTCCTCTTCCTCTCTGACAGGCTAGAGACCTCATGCTCTGCCTCCTGTTGCTGCAAAGGGGGTTCTGATTGCCGGACCTGGGTAAGAGGTCTGGTGTCCACAGATATCGCACTCGGGACAGAGCTCTCTGATTGGTGGAGCCAGCCAGCAGAGGCTGACTTCTTAGGTTCTGAGCTCTGTGAATGTTTGGGCTCTGTAGAAGCCGTCAAGCTCTCTGATTGGCCAGGCATCGACGTGGGGGTGGAGCTTTTCTCTTTTCCCACTGGCCCTGCTTCCTTGCTTTCTCCCCTCTCTTCCTCCCCCAGTGTCTCCAGCCCCTCCTCCGGCCTCTCTTTCCCCGTGAGGTTCCGAAGCCCCTTCCTGCTGGAGCCCATTCTCCGGCTCTTCCGGCGGTCTGACATTGTGCTCCTGGGGGATCTGTTCACAATCCTGGGGAGGAACACAGACTGGTCACACCTGGACGCACAGCAGGCTCAGGGTTTTCCCGTCTTCATTCAGGCTGGCCTCTAAAAGACGTAACTGGACTAATTGCTGTGCTGAACCGGAACAAGCTGATTTCCACTGCTCCCTTCACAAACTTCTTAAATCTACCATTAAACTCTGCAAGAGCGCGGCTCTCCAAGACTCGGGAGGCAGATCCCTTTCTACAAAGTAAATTGTTCTAAACTCCTTTGTACTAACACGATCTAACCCAGGCATCAACTTTTCACATTCAAATACAGTACGATGTTAAAAACAGGAGCCAGAAAGTTTCAATATTAGAATTCTGTAAGACAAATGACTCAGCGTGATGGTTCTGTTTTTCCAACTCCCACTCAGAACACACCGATTGATGATGACCTTTCTGCCATGTCTGCCGTGTAGTGGCTCCCTGGAAATTGCATTAGTAATATAAAATTTATTACCATGTAACTGTACCATATTATCACTATAGCACCACGGAGATAGAGAGAAACTTTAACACCGCAAAACCCCAATAGTCCCTTATTTCCTTTGCTTCTTTCTCCATTTTAACATATGAGTTACCAATCAATTAATCTACCCAACAATTAACGCTGTGCCCTTCAGAAAGAGGCTGGCGTGGGGAATGGCGTCACCATGTGAAAGGAACAGGTCAAAAGGCTTAAAAGGAAAGAAAAACACATTTCAGTTGTTCAGCCTGGGGAGGTTAGCACACAGACTAAAATATTGTGGTTCTTCCTCTTCCTTATTTTTTAGCCTGGAATCAACCTCTTGTATTTACAGGTGTGGTGCACTGGAGAGCCACAGATTTAATAGACAGGCCTTGGAGAAGGATTTAATCAGGGGCTTGAACCCCCTCCCAGCACTCCAGCTTCATGGGTGTAGTGCCAAGCCCAGGGCTGCTTCCGTGACCAAGAAAATCTGCTCGACAGCAGGCAGTCTGAGAGCGCAGGGCGCACTGCTAGAGTCATGCTCCTGAAATGACATTAACTGTTGTGTAGAGAGCTGTTGTGTAGTTGTGTTGTGTACACTGCACTCCTGTGTGTAGCTAGTGTGTAGAGAGTTGTGATAGTTGTGTACACTGCACTCCTGTGTGTAGCTGTTGTGGTTCCAGGATCCCCACCTATGATGAAACGTGAAGCCAGCTGTATTCTGTCTAAAGCTGTAGAGAAGCATTAATATTGTGGTTTAGAAAACCAGCCTCATGACATATAAACCCCTTCACCTGAACCTTATCCCAGAAATTCCTGCTCCAGGGAGGAACTGATTGGCTGCTGAGATGCACAAGGAATGGGCTCCTCTCAGCTCTAGGTGTCTCAGGTGGTCTGCAGCACTGTGCAGTCCTGTGACCTGCCCCTGAGCAAGTTTCATTTACTTCAGATTCACTTACGGGGCAATCCTGAAACTTCTCTCTCTCCTGGAACTCAAACAAGCCAAGGGCAGATTCAACGACCGCATCTGCTCTAAACACACTGATCACAGTTTACCATGGTTAACAGTAGTTAGGAGGCAACGCTGAGAAGGAGGTAGTAGATCACAGTGAAATCTTGGCAGATCAGAAGTTTGGCAAAGCATGAGACAAGCAAGATTCCACATGGTAAAGGCACAGTAAAAGTTAGCAACAGGCAGGCCGGTTCCTGGAACAGAAGTCAGAAGTGCTCAGCGAGAGAGAACAGCACTTTAGTTCGGCCGATTTACTGCCTTCAAGACGTGAACAGTGCTTTATATAAAAACCCTTTCTCAGTCCAGCTACGTGATAATGAGTCAGTTGGGCGTGCTGTTCAACGGGACTATGATTGTGCTGCAACAGAGAGGAAAATTGAAGACATACCTAACCTGAAAGGGTCCGTGCCACTCTCCACTCTCCCGAGCGTGCGTGCGTTGGTGTTGGCGTGGACCCTGAACACACAGGGCTGTCCTAGGCTGCCACACGTTGCAAGGACCAAAGCTGGTGCCCAGCTCAAGCCTGATGATGCACTTCACTTATCAAGACCTCTCCTGACGTAACAGCTGCAACCCATCATCCTGCCTCCCTCCCCAAGCTGGAGATGAGAGTGAAGCCAGCGTGGACTCTCACCCGCAGGGCTGCTCTTCGGCTGCGCTCTTGCTCCGGTGTGGTGTGGCGCGGCGCGACGTGGCCCAGCGAGGTGGGTGTCTAGACGGAGCCCGTCGCTGCACTGCAGCCGCCTTCAGACGATGCGCTCAGCGGGGCTCTGTCTTCAAAGTTCGGCTTTTTTTATTGGGTGGTTTTCCTCTACCAGATACCATGGCAACGGAGGAGGGCTTCCTGTGCTGTTTGCCACCTACCAACAGCTCTAGCGAAGTCAAAAAAAAAAAGTGCTAATGCAGCTTCCGCTTTCGGTGAGGCTGAAGTGCAACTGTTGCAGGGTGTCGCGTGTCGTCACCGAAGGTGCTAGTTTATTGCAACGCCAGCTTCTGGACCGTTGGTGGCGCTCTCCCGGGGAGCTGCCAAGACCCAGGGGCTCGGACCAGGGGGGTGAGAGCGGGCAGCAGGTGCCACAGCCCACACTGGAGCCGGAGGTCCCGACACCCCAGGACCCCACACTGGGATAGAGAACCCACTCTGCACCAGAGCCCCGTGCGCACAGCAGCGCCTCGGACCCCCGAGCTGGGCTCTCAGCTGCTGTCGCAATCAGCAACCCCCCTCCCTTAGTCAAGGGCCTCTTCCTTGACACTTTTGCAAGGATGGTTACAAAACCCGGGGTTTCCCAATCGCCACTTCCTCCTTCGCGCAGTCAGCACGAAGAGCGAGGGAGACGCGGGGGGTGAAGGGCGCCGGCCAGAACCATGAGCCCAGGGCCCAGGCCCGGCGCTTCCCGATCCCGTACGCATGAGCCCAGCGCACCAGATCACACCAGCTGCGTGGGATCAAACCGTTAAAAGTCCAGCACTTAACATGTTCCCCTTCTGTTCTTGACAAATCCAATTACAATTTATTAAAAGAATCAGTAACATTTGAATTTAACCTCAGCTGTTGGAATTTGGTGGTGCCCAGAATGGCAGTGTTCGCCTTTTATTGCACCGTTTGATTTACCTCAAATCTACCTCAGACTGCTGTCTGAACAGATAACAGGCTCAGAACACATTTCTGAAACAAGCAAGTAAACAGCTCACTTACGAGAGAAATGACTTTTGAAATTAAAACAAGCTACAGACAAAATGATACAAATGTTTATTTCACATAACATAAAATAACCACATTTTACAATAAATAAATTTTATATCTTAACATTTCTTTTTTGTTAATCTTCAAGCCCTCTTAAGAATTTTGTACATCATAATTTAAAACAATATTACAGAACAAACAGCTACTAGTGCAATAAGGGGATGCTGACTGTAGAAGGCAGCACTGTACCAGGTCTGTGAATGCAAGGTCCCAGGAGAGGTGGGATCTGAACCCTTGCTCCAGTAGGGGTCTACTGGTCTCCATCACGGGTGAGCCCTGACTGGATTCAGAGATCAGTTTAGCTACTTAAGCAGTGCGATTATTCGGGGCTCCCTGTGAACCCCACCCGACTGAGACGCCCTCAGCTCAGAGTGAACCGAGAGCCTGCTCTGGAACAGCAGAAGCCGTGCCAGACCAGCACTGGCATGTCGATCCTAACCCTCCCCTGCTGGAACCATGAGGGCAGACGGTCTACAGGCCCAGTGAATCACAGGAAAGGCCCGAGGGACCTCCTGGTTCACCATGTGAAGGACCCCTCTGAAACACCCCTCCCCTCCAGGAAGACTGGGGTACTGCACTGCAGCAGACTGAGGGCACAGGGAACCCAGCAGTCTAATTACATGCCAGCTCTCCAAAACAGAAAACCACTTTCTAATGGTATCATAATCTACAGCATCTGGAGTTAAAGAGGATATAAACATAACCTCTTTGTCCATCACCTCTGCTCACACTGTCCTTACAATGAATTCTAGTGTACTGTATTGCAATGCTTCACCAGCAGAAGACGATTTAAAGAACTAAAACAGTTGCAGGATTCATGCTCCCTCTCATCTGGAGCTGGGAATCCCCGATTTAGAGTTACAGTACTGCTACAGACATACAGAGCACTAACATACCACAATTACAAGCAAATACTCGACAGAAAGTCCACAATACTATTTGCACAATCGTTACTTTAGCTGCTGTGCATACAGGCAAGGCTATAATATATTCCGATTCTGCTCAATTGATACCAAATAAGAGCTTATTGAATCTCCAGCGCTCGCCCATCCCTCCTCTTCCTCCCATCTTCCAATCGAAGTTTTCACGCACATCTGGCTTCCCGAGAGCCGCTCCCCACCGCGTCGGCGGCTGATCAAGGCCGGGGCTGAGCGCCTGAGACGACGCGTTGACGTGTGCTGCCCTTTCTGCTCCAGGACGAGACAAACTGCAGCGCAGACCCTCGCGTTTCTCAAACCCACGCAATTTCAGAACCTGTAGCTGCAGTGCCTGGTACCAACACGCACACAGAGCCAACGAGAATCACAGGAAGCCCACAGACCGAAGAAACGTTTGCAGTGGACGTCAGCAGAAACATCAAAGGGGTCCTGCATCTGCGCAGATTAACTCCTTACTCTAAACAGGACCCGCATCTGCGCAGATTAACTCCTTACTCTAAACAGGACCCGCACCTGCGCAGATTAACTCCTTACTCTAAACAGGACCCGCATCTGCGCAGATTAACTCCTTACTCTAAATGGGACCCGCATCTGCGCAGATTAACTCCTTACTCTAAACAGGACCCGCATCTGCGCAGATTAACTCCTTACTATAAATGGGACCCGCATCTGCGCAGATTAACTCCTTACTCTAAACGGGACCCGCATCTGCGCAGATTAACTCCTTACTCTAAACAGGACCTGAATCTGCGTGGATTAATTCATTACTCTACACAAAATGGCTCGGTTACCAAGGCAGATTGCTCAGTAGTAACATTTCAATGTCCTTCTTCCCAGCCCGAGGGGGAAGGCAGTGCTGGGCAGAGGGTTCAGAGACTCTGGATGATCCTGCTGTCAGCACTGCACTTCCAGGGAATCCCGGCACTGTCCATCCGGGAGAGATCTGCTGCCACCAGGCTTCCAGCTCTCGCCTCAGAAAGAGGAGGGCGAGACGGGGGCCCAGGTGGAACAAAGCCACAAACGAGGAGGAGGAGGAGGAGGAAGAGAAGACAATGGTGATCAAGCAGCTTTGAGTGTCAGATACGCACACCTCTGTCATATTTAAACAGCAGTCCGTGTGAGGAAGTCCCTGCGTGCCGACTGCCCCTTCACTGCCCGGACTTCCGCGGCGTGGCCACCAGCCGCCGCTTGGCCTGGTAGAAATCTGCAGAGGGGAGAGAGGGGCAGGAGAGTCAGGGTCAGGGTGCCAGAGAGCTGGAGCTCTGTCCCTGCTCATTTCAAGAACAGCCCCACAGCACCACTATTGAACGGCATTTCTCACTGCTGCACATTCACAGAGCTTTATTACCATGACCGATGAACTACAATGCTCCCAAAGAGGTGACAATCAATAAGATATTTAGAGACTCAGTGTGCTTTACTGAACTGTAATTTCACAAACTTCTCAAAGCAAACAAGGTTTCATGAGTCCCTGGGCTCCACCTAGTGGACACTCCGAGGACTGCATGTGCATTAAGGGCAAGACTGGACATGTTCCAATCTGATGCAAGGAAAGGCAACAACTTGGCTTTTTCCAAGTTCAACTTGTGGGGAAACAAGCCTGAGAAAAGCAATGGAGCCAATTTTTCTGGTAAACCTGCTCTTTTACGGCCCACAGGTTCCCCACTCAAATGGTTCCTCAATCAAACGAATATCTTTGTAACGGTAGATGTGGTATAAAACCAGATGAAATTTGCAGACTCACTGCACTCATCTCATTACTGCTCAACACTACCCAGACTGCCTTTCCTAACAAAGGCAGACTTCCTACCCCTTTCTAGCAGTTTGCCTTTCTTATTGTTATTGTTGTTTATTCTGCACTTTTACAGGTTCTTAAAATCACCAGTCATTAACAACACTGAATTACATTGCTGTTACAATAAAAACATCCGTGCACACAGTTTTAAATACAATAATTATAAAAGACCTACACACAAATATCTAGATGCATAAAATCCAGTTGCTAAAACCTCATGTATAATGACCCAAGTCTACAGTCCAGTCCTATTTAATAATCTACACATATCAGGGATTGGTGATGGCCTACATCTCTCTCTCCGAGATCATGGAATAACCAATTTATTTGAGTTCCTTGTATGGCGACCAGCAATCTCCTCCCAGAAAGGGGGTAGCCGATCCCTAAAGTTAGATTTAATCGGTCCCAACACAACCAAAACTGGCACACATTTGACCTGAACCTGGACCCCACCTTCCTCCCCCACCGAGCACCAGTGCCCCCCGTCCTCCCACCTGTGATGTTGGTCTGCTTCCTCTTCAGCGTCTGGGCGGGGCTCTTCTCAGGCGTGCTCTCCGGACACCGGGGCTTCGCCGTCCGCTCCGGGGTGCGGGCCTCGTTCTCCTTGCCGCCCTGCTCGCCCTGCGGCGCCCCCCGCTGCTGGCCCACCATGCAGGTGCGGTACAGCGCGGGCACCTTGGCGCCGGGCACGCCCTCCCACTCGAAGTCCCCGCCCGCCAGCGGCCGCTCGTTCAGGAAGTCGAAGCCCCAGCGGCGCGCCGAGGCCTCCAGGTCCCGGCGCAGGAGGGCGCGGTACTCTGCCTGCAGCTCCTCGCGGTCCACCGGCCCGAACAGGCTCCGGCACACGGCGGCGCCGGCGTTCCCCAGCGGGTTCAGGGCGCGCTTCTCCATGGCCACGGTGCCACACTGCCGGGGACAAAGCGCACAATGAGGGTCACCAGCGGGGCGGCCCGTCAGACTCCCGCTGCACAGCGGCCCGAGCCACCCCGCGTTTCACCGGCAGCCGACATCCGCGCAGCCGCGACAGACCGCCCTCCTCTCACGGCCCCAGGAGCGACCACTCGGAGGCACCCGGCGGTGGGCATCGGACCCGACAGCTTGGGCAGCCTGTCCCTGGCAGAAAAGCAAGTGCCTGCGGCTCATTGGACCTGGAGCGGATCAGGCTGCTCTGCCACGGGAGTCTGTGCTGCTCCCTCGAGTATTAAGACGAAGATACACCACAAGCCACCACCAGCCGGGGACTCGACTGTCGTCTCGTAAACATGAAGGACGAGATCGTCAACCAGCCCAGCATACAGATCAACCCCCTTCACCTGCCGGGATCCAGAAGAAGGAAACTGGATGTTTCATCTGGGGGGTGACCTGATGTCTTAAGAGATTCCTCTCAAATCAGTTCCAAGCTGTCTTTTCGATTTATTTACCGACATTTTAATTCTAAAAGCTGGTGAGCAAATACTTTCACCTCTGTAAGTTTTCTTTAGAAAATCAACTACAAAATGAAACGAAATCCCCCTTTTATGAACAGAAACAGCAATTCACATCACTGGGATTCTCGGAAAAGCACAATGCTGCCTCAAAGTCAGACTGCTGCTTCCCGTTTCTGTGAGCAATTCTCCACTCACAGAAGAGCTCTCGTGCCGATCAGTTCTCCCCCCTGCCTCAGCTGCTCACTTACCATTCTAGCTGTCCCTTCTGGACCACAGAAACGCGCAGGAGCCCTTCAGCACTGAGCCTGCACTCTGCCTGCTAAGCCTTTTAAACCTGCTGGGTTTTGAAGCCAGGCTGGGTGGGACTCAACAACAGCGCAGCGCCAGCAGTGCGAGCTACATGCCTGGACACATTCTCAGAGAGAGCATGTAAGGGCAGATCCCAGCACACAGTGCTGTGGAAATACGGCTACCGTCAGCACGACTGCAAGTCAACAGCTCCTTCCTGGAGGAGGTCCATCGTTGGGTTGGACTAGATTTTGGGGTGAGGTTTCCCCTGTTCATCCCGGGGCCCCTCAGGCCCATTTTTAAGGTCTGAGACATTTAAGTGCCTCTGCTGGGACCCCTGCCCTGCGCCTGGGGGTGGGCTCTGAGAGCAGGAGCCCCGCTGAGAGACAGGGGGAGCTGGGGGGGACAGGGGGGACAGGAGGCTGGGG